CCTGTCACGGAGCTCGCTCGGGTCTCCCGCGGCTCCGGCGGATTAGACACCTCTAGCCTTTCCGCCCCGCCTCCCTGTGCGCACCCCTCCCTGCTGGCGGGCTGACCCGAGACCGCGGAGCATAGAGCGCGAGGGGCTAGAGAGGAAGCGCTGAGGGCGGGCAACCATAGAGTACGAGTGCGGACACGACCGGATGACCGGTCTCTTTCCTCGTCGGTCCACTCACCATCCTCTGTCGGCAAAGCTGGAACGGAAGCGGAAGTGGAGAGGAAAGCACTAAGGAAGGTTCGTTCGCCTGCGCAGTTTGCAGTGTTTACTTCCGGTGGCTGCGTCTGCTGAGAGATATAAGCACGTGGGTTTCAGCGCTTCGAGTTCACGGAAGAACGGCCCCTCGGTGATTTTTGGGAGAGACAAGGATGTGGGGCCCAGCAACGGTGCTTCCTCCTGTTCTGGCGCCCTCAGTTTTGGTAGGTGTTGGTCGCTTTTGCTTTTGGAGGTCAGGAGCAGCGATGCGGAAAGACTTGGGGACCGTTCCCCACCGTTTCAGAAGTGACTCCTGCCCAAAGCTGTGGCCGTGTGAGGATCGCAGGGAATCACCCCCGACGTCCGCGTCCCACCTATTTTCCAAGGGTTACATTGTCAACCCGACCTTGGCTGCAACCTTGGTAGAAAGGCTGCAGTTGACGGAAAATGGACATCGCCACTTAATCATAGAGTGCGATCCAGGTGAGTCCGTCTGGGTTGGGGGTGCTTATATGTTCATCACTTATGCAAATTTTATCAACTAGTCATGAGATGCTGTTTAATGCCCTGTTTCCTTGAAGCACCTTACTTGAGATTGTATCAGTAAAGGTACCACAAAATACTCAGTAGCAGTTTGCACTTTATACAACTTTTTCTTTCTTTTTTTTTTTTTTTGAGACAGGGCCTCGCTATGTAGTTGAAACTGACCTGGAACTCACTATGTAGTCCAGGTTGGCCTCGAACTCACAGCGATCCTCCTGCCTCAGCCTCCCGTGCTGGGATTACAGGTGTGCACCACCGTGCCCGGCCTTTTACACAGTATTTTGGTAAGATTTGCTTTTAGCCTTCACCTAAGATTGGACCCAGGTTTCGATAACTTCCCCGGCCTGATCCTAGAACTCTGAATCTTCCTACCTCAGCATCCCAGATTGCTGGATGTACTGTAGCCTCTCAAGTAGCAGGGATTACATGTTTGCACCAAGGCAGGCTATTTTACCCTTCTTATGCATTTCTTATAGATCACAAGAGGATGCTGATTTGTAGTCTTTTTTTTTTTTAGGTACCGGGGATGGAACTCGGAACCTTGCGCTTACAAGGCAGGCGGTGGCACCACTGAACTAAATCCCCGTTCCTGATTTGTAGTCTTTGATATTTTTGTTTTGTTTTTTTGTTTTTTTCCATCAGGTCCTTGCACTTGTGAGGCAGTCACCAGAACCACTGAGCTAAATCCCCGGCCCAGTCTTTGATATTTTTAAAGCACTATTTCCTATGCCAAGGAGACAGTTCTATTTAGGACTGATAACATTTTTTTGATGGTTGAAGTGTCTGGATAGGCTATGAGTGGTTTTTTTTGTTTGTTTGTTTTTGTTTTTCCTTCTATGAGTAGTAAAATGTGATTAAGAATGCAAATTTTGAGTCAGGTGTGGTGGCAAGCACCTGTAATCCCAGCGCTCAGGTCAGTGCAAGTTCGAGCTCATCCTGGGCTACAATAGTGAATGAGTTCAAGGTCAGCCTGAACTACACAGCTTGACCCTGTTCAGGAAAAAAAAAAAAATGCAAATTTTGCAGTCCCTGATGCTAGACTAGATTCCAAATCTAGCTTTATCACTTACTGGGATTTTGGAGACTAGTGACAAATCCCTACTTCCCTTGTAGGCAGAAAGAGTGCTATTGGGGATGTTTTGAGAATTAAAATTGGGTCATACTTGCAGTAACCACAAGAAAGAGAAACTTGTTACTGAAGAGATTGTTACCTCTCTTGCACATAACTCTGTTTTATGATACTAGGCCACGGAATCCTGACTAAGGCCTTACTAAACACCGGTGCCTCCGTGATTGCGCTTCAAAGTGACAAAAAGTTTATTCCACATTTGAAGGTACAGTTTAGTTCCTGGAAATACTTACTGTTCAGTCGATAACATTGAATGGTTTAGGAAAGGAGAATTAAACTCATATTTTTATGGACTCTAGGGGCCATGTCATAAATACCTTCTCATCCTAGTGCCTAGAACATATTAAGTGTGCAGAACTTGTTGAAATAACTAGAAGTTTGGTAGTTCTGAGACTTACTGTCTGGTTCTAATTCCTGTTAGGGTTGAGAGCATGACCCCCAAACGTGCTGTGCTGTGCTGCCTGCTGAAATGGGGGCAGTGGGAGCCCTCCAGAGCAGCTTCAGAGACAACATCTCTTTGATCTTCTGCTTGCTTTTCTCTTGCGCTTTTTTTTTTAATGTAGTAAGTGATAGAAACTAGATTGCCTGTTCCCCAAGGAGAATATAGAACCTAGAAATACTTTTTCCCAAAGCAAGCCATATAAGCCTAAAACTATTACTGAACCTTCCTCAGGCTAGCCATAAAGAAATTCTCTGACCTACCTTGTCTAATAGTAGATCATGAGACCTTCAGTCCAGGAGTCCTGCATTTACCCGCAAAGAAGAAATGCTGCTGAGAGAGGCCAGGAAGCTGAATAGGCCTTTCTGAGTTTCCTTCCTCCCTTCAGTCTATGACATTAAATCACGCCCTTTTTTTTAAAAAAAATCATATCTCCACACAGCTGTCTATTCTTCATTGACTCTAAGGATAAAAATGGAGTTTTCCCTGGATCTTTTGTTCTTAGTTCTGAAGCCTCTTTTGTACATTAAAACTTAAATTTGTTACACTCCCCTTGTTAACACGTCTTTCTTTATAGGAGTCTAGGCTGTGACTTGTGATAGGGAGAAAAGGTATCACATCTTTCCACTTCCGCACTCTGCTACAGATTAGTTTAATGACTTTATTTTTTTGTTTGGTTTTGTTTTTGGTACCAGGGATTGAACTCTGGACCTTGTGCTTGTGAGGCAGGCAGCGGAACCACTGAGCTAAATCCCCAGCCCCTAATGACTTTAAATAGAGTGTATGTTGGTATTACTCTGCTTTTTTCCTATTTTTAATAGGCTATGCTTTGCTAACATTACATTCATAGAACTATAGAAACTCTGGATCTAGCGTTTCAGAGGCAAAAAAAAAAAAAATTTTTTTTGGATAGTCAGATACAATTGTACAGAGTGTGGGCATTATCCAGATGGATTTTTCAATGTTTCTGCCTCTTAAATAGCAGACAGGTTCATATAATAGTACATAAATGGACATTCCTTGGACTTGCTAGCTTTTTTTTTCCCCTCCTCTTTACAGATCTCTACATTGGATTTAGGAAACTCATGCTATGCCAACCTCCTAAAATTATGTGGATGAATGACTACCTTAACAGTATGACAAAAAAAGTTACAGAAAGTCTATGAAAATAGTAATTTAAGTTTTTAAAAGAGGAAACTTTGACCACAAGGCCTGGGATTGAATCCCCAGTGCTGCAAAAAGGAATGTATTACTGTTATTCCACAGACAACTGCTTTGAAAATCCAAGGTTTTAGCCAGGTTGTTTAATTGGTGTTAGCATCTGCTAGAATTTATAAAGAAGGAAGAAAAAGGGAAAACACAAAATTGTTCCAGGCTGGCAGTTCACAGCAGAGCACTTGCCTAGCAGGTGTAAGGGTCTAGGGTTTGATTTCCTAGCTCTGTGGCCTAAAGTGGTACTTACATTGGCACAAGTCTGTAAGCCCAGTGCTCTGCAAGGCTGAAGCAAGAGGATTGCAGATTTGAGCCCAGTGTGGTCAATTTAGAGAGACCCTATCTCAGAATTTTAAAATAAAAAGACTAAAGATGTAGCTCAGTTGAAAAACCCTTGGCTCAATCCCTTCTTTTATTGATAATGTTAAACTTTTTTTAATATACTAAGTTTATCATTACTCTTTAGGTATACAACATGACATTCATCATTGGGAATTTTTTAAATCCCCTGTTTTTTTAAAAAAAAAAATTCTGTAGGATCTAAAAAAACAGTTGCTTTAGTGAAAAAATGATAGGGACTAGAAAATTTTTAACAATAATTCTCATAAGATTATCAGTAATAAAATGTTTGTGAATGTAAACATGGATTGAATCCAGTCTTTCATTAGAATTGTTTTTTACTCCTTTTCAGACTTACTTTCTTCTCATCCTCCACACCCCCCGCCCTCTTTGCTGGGAATAGAACCTGGGGCCTCAGACACGCTAAGCACATGCTCTTCACATGCAGCTTCAGTGCATATTAGTTCTTTTTTTTTGTACCGGGGATTGAACTCGGGTCCTTGCGTTTGCAAGGCAAGCCCCTGAACCGCTGAGCTAAATCCCCGGCCCTTTTAGTTCATTTTTATTAACCATCTTTATAAAAAGTCAAAAGCCATTCAGGTAGTTTTGTATTGGTTTATCTATTTTGTTTTAAATTCTTTTTTTTTTGTATTGGTTTATCTATTTGCCAGAATAAAAGAAACGTGTAAATAGAGTCTTTGGAGCCTGAAATCAATTAGACCATGTTTCTAGCAACCTAAAGGCTCTTTGGTTTACTTCTAAAACCTGAAAGAATTTCCAAGGATTCAGATCCACCTCCCGCCCCCAATTCCAGAGATCGAACTCCGGTCCTTGTAATGCAGGCGGTGGAACCACTGAACTAAATCCCCGGCCCTGGATTCTGAATTTTTATCTTGCTTAAATTCCCTGCTCCCTCACATTTCCATAAAAATCCTGGAACTCCACAGTAACAGTATTCCAGGAAAGAAGTATATTTCTTATCTGGATGTGGTAGACATAGTACACATGTTAGGAATTGTGTTTCATAATAATAAATAAAAATATCTCCATTTAAATTGTGAAAAAAATTCTTAGAGAAATAAGTTTACCTTCAGGTAAAGAGATATCTTATTTCAGTCTTCAAATCAGGCAGAATCTCAGCCCTAGCACTTCCTAGTTTTAAGACAGGTTGCAGGGGGCCGGGAATTTAGCTCAGTGGTTCTGCCACCTGCCTCTCAAGCACAAAGACCTGAGTTCAATCCCTGGTACCAA